AAGAGATGTTTTGAAGCGAAACTATTATGTAGAGTTGAAAGTACACACTCAATTGCAAGCATAAGGTCTGAGCTAACCGTCAATATAGATTTTTAAATTGAGATTTAAATCAAAATGCTGGCATTTTCTTGCTTTTTGCTCTCATTTCAAGGTAATGTCGTATTGTCAATATTTCAATATTGCATTGGCAGGGAAAATAAAACTGAATCTCAAAAATGTTTGAATTTTCAATGAATTAATCAACTTTCCGATCTCTTTTCCAGCGATGTTTAACAGTATGAAGCTGCAATAACAAATCAACGCATCGACCATAAGGACAGTGAGTAATTACTAAACGTCTTTGAATTGCATTCTTAGATAGAATTGTATTCCTTTAGAAAAGTCACAGTTTCCTACAAACGTAATAAATAATTTGGTAACATACATATCCGCAATACACACGTATACTTCAGTCTTTCATTATTTTGACTATAGTAAAGAATATAAATATATCATAGTACTTTGTAACTGAATTCACCAATGTCTAGCTTTTATTTTTATGTAAAATAAGGTATCACTTAGCGTGGCATAATCCTACATGCACAGTGGTTGGTTTGTACATCCTGACATTTTACATAAAGATACGTTATTGTTATTTTAATGCAAAATCATTGTGGATGTTTAATGCCTGAAACAATCAATTGTACAGTTTTCAATGGGCACTGTTGCATTTCTGACCATGGAAACGATTAGCATGCAATGTCGCCAATCCCCCACCACCATCAAGTAAAAGAGTTAAAAGGATGTCTATAATACAATAAAGTAATAAAATTGATATTGCTCTGTGGAAAGTACCGAATGAACATCATGCAGCTAGGACCTATAATTATAGACATTTCATATATTTAAAGCTGAAACTTACATATTTTCTCCACACCAATTCAATGGCAACCCCACCATAAGACAAAATAGATAGATGAATGTATCAGGAAAACATAGGTAGGAAGGTAAAACATTCTTCAAGTGCACTAGACATTGTACTAAACATCCATTCCTCTATCTAATGCCACTTTAGTTATTTTGGTTCATCATTGCTTGACATCATCTTAACAGCAAGGGTCATTTAGGACATGCCAGGTTTGGGTAGTGGAGGAAAGCCAGAGTTGTCGGGGGAAAACCCCCCAACCTTTCACCAGTACCAGCCGATAGCCTCATGTTAGCTGCAAGCCAACCATCCAAAGGTGGAGGGTCAGTGAGGCCCCAACCGCCACGTAAATGAAGTGCAAATTATGTATGGACAAAAAAATATTGTACCCTTGAATTTGTAATAAACAGCCTTTGGTTTAAAAAAAAATCCTTTTTATGATTATCTTAAATGTACACAAGAAAACCTAGAAATGTTACTACAAAAACTTAACAAATTATTGTTAGTGAGTAAACAAAATACCATATAGCACTCTTCCCTAAATCCTTCTTCAACATATTGGATAGCGTAACAAAATATCATTGTACAACAGGAAGTCACATAACATATGACACAAATGATATTCTCTCAACAACTAAATTGGAACTGACTCCACATTATGTACTTACCTTGTGGTTGGATCTGTTGTTAACAAACAAAATCCTATCGTTATATACCCGGTAACACCTCATATCTAATAGCATCAGTCGTGACCTTGTGGCCTGATACGAAATTGGGAAAGCATTCAATGTTAAATAAGGGTTTTGTCTGATAAAGTTATAAAATGTCGCTTTTGTTCCGGTTTGATTCAGATCCTTTCATTCTTTATCCGTAAACGTATTAGAAAAAAATATTCCAATGAATGTTATGGTCACATATGGAAAATTAATAATTTATTCATTTCAAAGCTATACCTCAAAACGTACTAACTTCGCTGAGAACAAAGATGTAAGGACAATTTATACCTATATTCTTATCATGTATTCTTTTTAGAATATCATCCTGTTGACATTTTCATATCAAAGAAAACTGTGTTTCGATTTAATAAACCCATCTGAAAAAGGATATACTTTGATTTCAATTTTCTTTTTATAATGATAGGATTCAATGGCGATAATGTGATTGATTCAACAAAAGTATCGGTCTAATTGTCTAAATGTCTAATTTTAACTACACTTTATGAGTCATTTCGTGAACAAATATAAAATATTTCTGTATAGAATACAAAATATACAAGTATATTGTCCACAATTGATATTTATTCTGTTCACATATATTAGATGATTGGAATTCACAACCAAACTCAGAATATGTGACTTGTCAATGGTCAGAGATCTACAAGTTCCGCAGCAGATGGTCAGGTATTTATGCGATGTGTTTGCTAATGTTTTGATTACATGACTAGTATACCGAAAAAAATATTTTCGCGTGGTTCATATTTCCGCTATGACACATCATATTTACTGAGTCCACGTATTTTTATGTTCCTTCAAGGTACTGATTAAAGTGATCTTTACCAACTTGTGAAGACAAGGATTTGCCAGAAAAAGTGGTACCACATAACATGTTTCTAATACTGCATAATGCTGCACATTGGTGGTGCGAAAAACGAGTCCGCGAAATTTTCCAATGGTCTTTTTCAGTAACAATGGAATTTGCCCCGTCATCAAATTAGATAAAAGTGGGAGGTATTTATAGCACCTTGAGTAACTATCCATGAAATAGGATTTTGAAAAATCAAAAGGTCCATAGGGCCTGTGCTACGTATGGCAGTGTTATGTTGTTTTTCATCTGAAAAAGTATTAAAACACGACGTACATTACGTAATGATGTAATATTTGATTAACACGGGTCAGTGTAACAATTTGGTGGTAAATATGTATCAAAACATCGCAAAAATGGTTACCTTGAAACCAAATTGAAAAAGTATGACTTTCAGTTGAGTGCACCAAAAATCTTTATAAATTATTTGGCCCTTTATGTTAAGAACATTTGGTTAATATTTCAGGAAAATCGAGAAGCAGTAAAGGTGTCATTTTAAAGCCAAAAGATTAGTATTTCAATTTTAGTCAGTTTTATATATCCTCAAAATAGTTGTTTAATAATGAGGTACATAGTTATGAGGTGTCAGTTTTGAATACGTCAATTCTGCTGCAAGTTTCCATGTCAAAACAAAATATAAATAATCAATGAAAATCAACAATCTCGAACTTTGAACTAAATGACATTTTTCAACAGTTTCTCAGAGGGGACAAAATTCCTGAAAGAAAAACACCTTTTTTCATTTTCAGTACACAAATATTTTTATCAAATTATTTGGCTCATTATCTGAAGTGTATACCATGAAAATGTCAGAAAAAATTGCCATTCAAAGGCCCGAGCACTGATGTGTGCTACAAATACCACCCACTTTTATTTGATATGGCACGTGGGAAAAATTCCATTTTTTCCTGAAAGAGATCCTTCATGTAATCTCGAAAATTTGTCAGTTGTAATGTAACAGGACTAATTTATAACACATACATGAATGTTTGTAAACAAAAAATATTTTCGCTAAGAAATCAATTTGAAACAAACCCCAAATTGGTACATTTGCAAAGTTTCCCATCTTCTGAAGTAAATGATAAACATGTTTTGATGAAATCGTCAAAACCTTTTCTATTGTATAATAAACCTATTAAAGCATTAATAAGATAGCGGTAGTTTTGAATGTGGCTTAATCAATGTTGTTCTAATGCATCATATTTTATCAGTCAATTAATATATAAAACGACAGGCAAACGTCATTGGTTGATATTCCGTGGTAAACAGGACACAGTTCGGGATTTGTTTGCGTTGTCTTCCCAGTCAGTTACATTGCATTTACAGTCTTGTAAATTCCACCATCCTATCAATGTTTATTTACGGTGTTCTATAAAATCATGGATGTTGACATACACGACATCTGTTATTAAGAATAAAACATTTAATTACAGATATACCAAGGCGACCTGTCGGGAATGTTTGTGATACTGATGTTTTGCCTGGGGAGAATTTGAATCAGATTGTCGTTAACAACTACTAAATCTCAGCTTCAATGAATAGTAACCAGACAACAAGTATATCCTTCTCTAAAATGCAGAATTTTCTCTGATATCTTAACATCTTATCTTCAAAAGGAACACAATAAATATTATAATTTTGTTTTAACTTACACAACACGACGCCTACGTGTATTTTACCTCAGACGTACGATCACATCAAGAGATGCAGATTGATTTTATGTGGATAACTAATGAAAACATCAAACAAAATCCGTCACTTTTTGTCAAAACGTCATGAATTCTTAAAGAGTGAAACTTTTATAATAAAAAACAACAGCGAAACAAATTATTCAAATTTTTATCAATCAATTCTATAGGCCAAGATGGAAGCGTATAAGGAGTGTTTATATGTGAGAACACTAGATACTGGACTACCCGTGGAAAACTAACATGGTCAGACAGGAAATCCCATGCCTTTTCACGTCTTTTTTTACTTAACATGAAAGGTTACTATGGAAATTAATTATTTTTGCAATGTAAACTCCCATCCAGAGGTATTACAGAGGCAATGGACAGTTTCCTGGGAACGTTCCTACGAACATTACAACGCAACACAGCCTGTTTTGTTATTGCGGTTGTCAATTTCTGTAACAACTCTTGGTTTTGTGATGGTTAGGTTAAATGTTATTACGCCTCCCACGTACAAACCATAATTGAACTATATGAAGCTACCGGTCACTCTAGTATTAAGAAACTACCGTTTCGCCTGTAGCGTCCATGGTGAGTAGTCATCTCCTAAATTAATCTTTTCATCAGCGTCGTCTCCTTAGTGTCAACTTGAACTGTATCTATATAAATCTAGGTTTAGTAGAATCATATCCTTACAAACATTAATGACCTTCAATTCAATAACCTTGTGGTGCTGCGTGGCAAAATACTGACCGATTAAAACAATAATAATAAAAGTATTAAACTCAACAAGTCACAAAGTCGAGAGGAAAAGTGGATGATAAAAAATTTCCATAGTAAACAACATGGGACCAGAACGATCACCGTTGATTTTGTGTATATATCTGTTACTGTGCGTGGCTGCAGTAGAAGCATTACCTGTCTGTGCGAATGATACCGTTGGTTATGTAACAGACGCTGGGTGTCAGAAGGTGTGGCGCTGTGCTTGGGGACGATTGTCTGCTAAGCCAGTGTTTACCTGTGGCCAGAACATGGTCTTCAGTGAGGTGCTTGGTATGTGTGTGTGGCAGGGACAAGAACACGATGACTGTTCCTCGTCTTCATATACTTCAGACAAAAGTAAGACCACCAGAGCTTCGGCAGTTCATGCAGAAATTACGATAATTATGTTGTCTGATTTTCACCATAAAGATTGATCTTTCACTGGCAAATTAGAATGGTACACAATGAAGTATTTCTAAATTACATGTAGCCTTTCTTTTATCATTTGTGTTCCCCCCCCCCCCCTTCAAATTCATCAACGAAGATATCCCTACAGTATGTGAATATTTCAACAGGGTGAAACTGTCCTGAACAACAAATACCGGTGTTTTCTGCTAATGATTTCAAAAGCTTTATCGATAAACATGTAGTGATATATGCTTTGTGTAGGGAGTTTAAATACAAATATCAGAAAAACAGATATGCGCAGAATCTACAGTTGTCATGGCATTTCAATATCACTGTGGCTCGACTGTGATATCATTATTATGATATCTGTATATCAATAGTAGTACAATCTCGGTGGACAATTAGCCTACATTCTTGGAACTCAGGATATCACGATTTAACATGTATTCATTAACAATATTATGTCATTGAGGTATTAGTATGTAAATTTATCCCACAACATCAATTACAACAGGCCAGGCTGTATGTCGCGATGAACTTCCCGCCATTCCCCATGAATCGGAATGTCAGCTGTATTACGACTGCACCACCATCCAAGCTTCCTTGAATGTCACAGACGTAGAACCTACCGATGGTGTTTCCCTCCGAGAGTGTGAATATCCTGATCTCTTCTCCGATGTCACCATGAAGTGTGAAAGCTTCATCAACGTAAATTGTGGTAAAAGACGGGAACCGGTTGATAAGTGTAAGTTATGTTATTAGACTTTCTATGATGTCTGATATCAGAGGGTCTTACATTGCGAGGGATAGGGGAGGGGAAGGGGTGCAGTTTAGTAAGAACGCTTGCCAACTTAACCTCAGATGAAATCCGAGCTGAGTAGCTATACACTATCTATCCGTGGCACTCGAGTAACGATCTGTCCTGACGTGATTGTGTTCTGGGCAAGACATGCCACCTTTACTGCACTTGTGTAGGTTATATGTGTGTTACAAGATTACAGTATTGTTTGTTCTAGGGGAGATAATCTAACTCCAAAGGTATACGAGTTATTACTCTACATTGGGATTTGTTCGATATTGAGGTACATATTTTGGAGGATTTTGATAAAACGACTGGAACGATACAGCTGCGTTTTATGATTTTGTCCCCTTATGATGTGAAATCGAGTTTCCCCTGATCTCGCAATCACTACCCTTGATTAGAGGCAACTACCCTCCTGCATGTTGCTCTTTGAGGAGTCACCAGCTACTTTATGGATACCCCGCCTTAAAATAACTGGCTGTACACGGGCAGTAAACCTAGCACATGTGAATAGCACCATTCTACACAAATTTAGATACGCTACAAAATAACCAAATAATACTACAGCTGCAGCATACAGGACTTACCACTGATGCTAAGAACCATAATCGTTGAAATCTATAAGCGACTGCGGAAAATCGAAATTAGCCCACACCAATGTCCAAAACCATCTATCAGAGTATCGTTACTTTTTCGTATCACAAGCGCAGAAAGATATCATCACAGTATCTTTGTTGAAATGATACACAAATCGGTGATTTTGTTTATATTCTTTTCAGGTGACTATCAAAAACGTAGTCAATGTCATTCTCCTGAGACTTGCTCATCGTGTGCCATGCGGTACCCTAGCTGTAAAGGTCAAGCCAACGGTCCTCACTCCGATGTCACAACATCCAACCCATCAAGTTTCGTAGTCTGTTACAACGATAGATTGGTGGCACGTGGAAACTGTGAAAAAGACCGCTTTGGAGAGATGATGGTTTTCTACGAGAATGGGGGACTCGGGACAAGTGGCTTTTGTTGGAGTGTTCACGACATCCCACAGAACGACGGAGGACTTCTTCCGAGTTGTCCGAAAGGAGTTTTCTTCAATGTATTTCCAGATGCGAAAGGGGCATGTAACAGATTCTATGAATGCATATACGGTATGGCGTTCGTCAGACGCTGTCCTGGCAGTTTAGTGTACGACTCTCGCCAAAGTGTCTGTAGTGCCAAGGAATATGTATGCGCCCCCTGCGGAATGCGAATCTGGTAAATTGACCCATTATTACTCTAAGATGTATATGTTGTGTGCTTGTTATCCGTCTTTTACATGGTTTCAAGGGATACAGGTAAACGTTTAGACTTTTTATCTGCAGTCATCATGGTCTAATTTGGTAAATATTCCACGAGCGATAGGAATTTAAATGTTTTTGACATTTGTTTATAAACATTTCCTGCTTGAGAGTGGTGCATCATGTAGTTTTGACCTTGACTTACATGGCGGTACAGATGTAGTACATGTAGGATGTGGTAAGCCGCATGTTATGTGTTCTTATAAAAAGTAATTTCTCATAGAGTGTATATAAATATTTATATTATTGATCTTAATCGTTATTTCGTCCTGCTTATTCAAGATTAGATGTTTTGAAGCGAAACTATTATGTAAAGGTGAAAGTAAGCAGAATCATCCAAACGCAATTGCAAGCATACGGTCTTTGCTTTCACTCAAATTTATTTTGTCGCCACCATGATCTCATCAGGATTTTTTTTCCTTTTGAGATGAGAAATGGCATGTGTTCAATGCTCGCTAATTGTCTAAGGGTTTCGTTGTTAAAACTCTTGATCTCCATTTGAAAATGTACAAATTATAAATGTAATCATTCGGATTGACCAAGATTTACATGGCAGGTGTCTTCTATAAAAACATAAAATATCCCTTCTGTTACATCTGACCATTGTTTTGGACTGTCAAAACATCTGTCGTTCTTCTGTTGGCATTCTGCCCTCTTTTCATCAATATCGATTTTTGAATTAAAATTTAATTTAAAATGTCATTTTCTTGCTTTTTGCTCTCATTTCAAAGATATGTCGTATTGTCAATATTTCAATATTGCGTTGGCAGGGAAAATAAAACTGAATCTCAAAAATGTTTGAATTTGCAATGAATTAATCACGTTTCCTATCTCTTTTCCAGCGATGCTTAATAGTATGAAGCTGCAATAACAAAATCAACGCATCGACCGTAAGGATAGCAAGTCATTCTTTAACGTCTTTGAAATGCATCCTTAGCAAGGATTGTATTCCTTCAGAAAATGTCTGAAGTTCCTATAAATGTAATAGTTCGCTAACATACATATCCGCAATAAACACATACATCAGTCATTCATATTGTTGACTATAGTAAAGAATATCAATATATCATAGTACTTTGTAACTAAATTCATCGATGTCTAACTTTTATTATTATGTAAAATAAGGTGCCATTAAACGTGGCATAATCCCACACACCGGCGGTTGGTTTGTACATACTGACATGTTACATAAAGGTAACTTATAGTTAAGTTATTTTGATGTAGATTCACTGTTGATATTTAATGCGTGTAACGATCAGCTGTACAGTTTTCAATGTGCACTGTTGTATTTCTGACCATAGGAAAGATTAGCGGGCAATCTTGCCTTTCTCCAAAACAAAATCGAACGCAAATGTACTTATAGGAGTCATAAGGACATCTAAAATGCAATAAAGTTATAAAATTGATATTACTCTTTGTGGAAAGTACCGAATTATTTGCGTTTCACATGTTTAAATCCAATTCATTGGCAACATCACCATAAAACAAAATGAAATGGGTGAAGGTATAAGGAAGCCATAATGGAGGACTGTAGTAAGGTAAAACATTCTGCAGGTGTCCTAGACAATGTACTTAAGATCCAGTCCTCTGTCTAATGCCACTGTGGTGGAAGAAAGCCGGAGTTGTCCAGGGAAAAAAACACAACCACCCTTCCACCAGCACCTGGCAATAACCTCGAGCCAACCATCCAAAGGTGGTGAGTCAGTGCGGCCCCAACCGCCACGTAAATGAAGTGCATATCATAAATGGAGTGCACATTATATATGGACAAGAAACGAATGTGGAAGTCTATTAAACGCTTTATTTCAATGTTTCAGAGAAACTTTCGGGTATAACACAAGGCAGTTGTCATTGTCATCGAAGCAAAAAATGTACAATAATCAAGTATTTAAAAAAAACTTCTGAATATACTCGTATCACCAGTAATGTTTTATAATGCCACACGTCCTTACAAAAAATTATTGTACCCTTGAATTTGCTATGAACCGTCTTTGGTTTTAAAAAAAACCCTTTGTATGATTAGCTTAAATGTATGTAAGAAAACCTAGTAATGTTAATACAAAAACTTAACAAATCATTGTTAGTGAGTAAACAAAACACCATATAGCACTCTTCCCTAAATCCTTCTTCAACATATTGGATAGCGTAACAAAATACCATTGTACTACAGGAATGTCACATAACATATGACACAAATGATATTCTCACTACACATGAATTGGCACTGACTCGACATTATATACAATATTTTTTTATTGTTACTTGATATCTCTACCATGGACCAACATCAAATCTATATACATTTGTGTTTATATTGGTGATTATGTCTTGGTTATACACTCCAAAAATTTGTTGCATTGGTATTTATGTGTTCAAACTTGGTTTTCTTAAAATTTACATTTATCTATACATTTCAACTTAATGTGGACTTTTATTAAAAACACATAACTTCCATATAATATTCAGATATCTGATTTTATCTTAATATATCATATCTCAATTTGTGAAAAAATTAAAAAAAAACAAAAAATGACTAGCTCATTTCAACCAAAATTTGATGTTATTAAGATAAGTAAGATTTTTCCAGTAATTAAATCAATTTTATGAAGGTAAAACTGTTATTTCTCAAGAGGTAGTATAACTGAATACAGACTACTTCAAAACATTGCAGGTGGTAATAAGTTCAGGACATCTAATGGCTTATACACATCTATAAATGACATCAATTCAAAATAACAAACCAATTAACACATGCTACACAATCAAAAAAAAACTTCGGTTAAATAAAAAATAAAACAAACAAACAAGGTACAATTACAATCTACAGAAAGATACATCATTACCTTTCATTCTGGTTTACCTGAACCACTTAACCTTAATCATGCAATAATGTTGTTGATCTTCACAAATTACATATATACATATTTACATAAAATCAACATCATTTTAGAAGCTAACATGATTAATTTTCAAAATATGTGATCATTAAAAACTGTATGAATTTTAATGCCACCGATATTCCTCTGAATATCGTCTTTTTTCAACTGATTTATCACATAAAGTTCTGTAAAACATGAAAGCAAATAGTGAGGCCATATTGTAAACTTTAAACACAGAAAAATAAAAAGATCATTTTGAAATAGTGATATCATATGCTGAGGATTTTGTATTTTGCATTTGAAGTCAGAAAACCTACAAAGTGACAAAATACAAAAGAGGATACATTCAGAAATTTACTTATTAAAACTTTGAAAGCTAGAGTCTGCTAGTAACTCAGCTGATCATATAAAATTATGATACAATGCTTTGTGAATCCTGTAAAAACAATCTTATTAATTTCACATGATGTGATAATTATATGATAGTAGTTTCTTTTTCTGAACAATTTGTGTCTTGTTACACTCTTACCTTATGATTTACCAACCACCACTGATGAAGTGTGAGAGTGATTTCCCCTTTCTTATTTACTCTGTGTATCTAGCTGATATTACATTTGATAAAATTCTCTTTACTTTCTGAAATCTGTCAATGATGCATCATACTTTACATCAATTTCGCAGATATAAACAAAAATTGAACATTCAATTATTTTATATATATCTGGAATACTATTCATAATATATATATATATGTGTGGATCATGTCAGCTTCATTCTGGATAATGACAACTGATACAGTATGGTTTAACAGCACATTAAAGTAAATACATCATGTAATTGTACATGATATTTATATTGAAAGATACCAAATATGGTCATATTACATGTAAATAAGGTCAATACTCTACTTCTTTTGGCAAAATTTACGTAAATGATAAATAATATCATTAAATTAACTACTAGACTAGAGGCTTTCTCAAAGAAAATATCAATAGTGAGACACTGAACACATTTAACACATAGACTTGGGATTTGCCAGTTCACGTACTAGTTATAATAAGTGAAACAAAAAGTGTAAAAGAAATAGACATGGATATATCAACTAGGGACAAAAAAGTACAAATTACTGTTTAAATTTTCAAACAAAATTTAAAAACAGAATTGCATTGTCATTACTTAAAAATATCGCATAGCTTTGCATGTACAAAATTTAATACAAACACTGTAGTGCTGTTGAGCTCATTATCCTGACTTTTGTGAAAGACTAAGATATGAAATAGAAGTCATTATTATACGGCAGTAGCCACAAAAAATTAATTACTTGAATACTATCTACTTGTGCAGTCTAATAAACATGCGAAATACAAAAATATCTTAAATGAAACGGTCATGTAATTCAATTTAATTTTTTACCATTTGTGATTCAACCTTGTTTTGTAAATCTTTTCATCAACAAACATGTTTTCTTTATGTAATTTGATGTGATGAAACGAAAATATAAGGGACAACAAATGTTTCGTTGGACAATCTACAAGAAAAAAGAAAAAAAAAGAGACAATTTTGATGCTGTATAAAGACATATACTATCTTTACAGCTGAAGTGGTATTTAAGTGTGACCTCCTTAAACAATGTGTCGTGTTGACTCACTGCACTCAAGCGGACAGTGTAATTTGACCTTCCTTAACAGTGTGTCATGTTGAATTTGATCTTATAATGAGGTGTCATGCTTTCTCCCAATCTTAATACTATTGTTAAAAATGTTAACTTTTAATCTTTGTACAGCATCTTTTGTAAATGGCTAATACCTATATGTAACATTATATTCAAATAGTAATTTTGGGACACTTGTAACAAAAGTCTGGATTTTTCAACTGGGATTGATCTATACTTATGGAAGATATGTAATGAATAGCACCCTTCCAAACAATACGGTAGAGCCAAATTATGAATTCAACTGCATCATAAATCTTCCAGGACTTGTCAGTGATGTCTTTTATGAAGAGTATTCAGAACTCAACCTCTACCATCCCTAAAAAGTCACTGTTTAAAGAAGCTGCAACAAAGATTACATGCTACATACCAGTGCTAAACTAAAATTATGCGTAAATATATGTATATGTTGTGTAAAATTCAATTTTGTATGAACTATTTAAAACCTTATTTACATCAATTTACTGATAAAATCATGCCCCTGTTGAAATACTATCAATATCCAGTTGTTTATGATTTGAATTTTGAAGCCCCTTCTTGTCCCACAAAAAAATCCTATTTACCGAGTCTCCATGTCAATCTTCCTCTTGTTCATATATTTCCATGAATTTTAATGATTTTTTTAGTTTTACTGATTGTGTTTCGAATAATCATTTAGAAAAACAAGAGTCCTACTGACCTTGAGACTTTGTCTCAGGTGACCTTAAAATCTCAAGCTGAAAAATTTGCTGCGAGTTCATTATATCCCTCAAGAAAATTCCAGAGAATTCACTATTATGGCTAAGTTTCAACAAGCTATTACACATTTATACATTTTTAGTGTTTTGCAGGGCATAATATAAACAAACTGTGACAGATATGAAACAGATTCAGTCATTTCCTCTGACTAGCATGTACCTTTAATCTAGAAAATTTCCTACATATATATACTACACATCTAAAATAAAACATGAGCTTTACACATTATGTCTAAATGCTAACAACTAACTGCGATAAACATGCAGCCATAACAAAGAAATTACAAGGGAATGGACTTCATAAACTTAATACTAGACTACAGTAACAAAATGCTCACAGTTAACATCAATAAAATATGCCTCAGGCTTTTTATCACAGTGTCATACTCTACAAGGACAGAATAGTCGCACATCAATAATACCGTTCTTATAAAATTGTCAAAAGATTTGCTGAATCCAGTACATTTCATCATCTTAAATATAACCATACAAGAAACTAACTTGATATCTTTTAAGACAGGTACTTTCTATTAAAATCTACACTATTCAGTCCAAAAATTGTTACAAATATTAATTATATTCTCAGTGGCATTACAGTAAGTTAAATACTGTGATGCTATCCATGCAGTTCTTCCATTTAATGTTAACCTTTCCATGGCTTCAAATTTCCTGTCAGTGTGTTTTATCCTGAATGATGTGTCTCTTATCTCTTATGAAGGACTGTGATTTATATATTTATCAAGAAAGCCAAAAAATGGTGAAAAAAGGATAATTTAAAATCCAAAGCAACATACATTTGATCAACAATGATGAAATGAACTGAATGTTTAATTTTCGATTTTCAAACCTTGAATTCATAAATGGGAAAATTTGAAAATGAAAAAATTTACCACACCTTTTGACCAAATTTTGATTTCCTTAAAAACAATGAATTGGGACAGAAAAGGTTAAATACATATATATTAAATCCATTGAAGTAATGAACAACAATTATGAAAACAATAATTAATGAAATTAAATAAATAACACAAGACTTGAAATAGCAATAAGAAGAAACAATGATAGCAAAAAAAAAAAAAAAAAACCACCAAAAAAAAAGTACCTAACATGACCTTAACCATTAGCTCTGTAAACTGCGGATATAGTTGAGGGGTGGAGGGTTGGGGGTGGGGTTTGGTTGATATAAAAACAGATAACTTCATTGTGGTTTTGTATACCAACTTGTGCCAGTTTTGTTACTGCTTTTTGAATTTGTATGCAACTAATTTCATGGGGGAACATTTGAGGGGAACTTTTGGGAAGATGAAGGGGAGGGGAACATCTGGAGGCAAAATAAAACACATTTCTGTGTCGGGTGCCCTAATTACGTTCAGATTCAGTATGGTCCTCTGAGCAAAACAAGAAAAAGAATACGAAAAAAAAAAAAAGGAAAAAACAAAAACAAAAAAAGAATTCCCTTTGTATGTGACTATAATAAAGAACATTTTGCCTTATCTGTTTAAATATGTATATGTTCAATTATATTTTCTGTTTAGTAAATTATACAATTAACCCGTTTTGTAAACATATTTATCAATTATACATACAGGTTTTCACATAACAACATAAACAAGATACAAATGTTATGTAATCCAGTCTGGTCAGTCTGTGCATATATAACTTAGTAATCATGTTATATTTGAATTTCACACATGTGTAATCAATCTGCTGCATACCTTGTCACAGTAGCCTAAAAGTTTATACCAAAGAAACATGATCTTTAGTATGCAAAATAAGATCATGCAAAACCAAAAATTGATACACAGACCAGGTGTATAATCAGATTGGTTTTATATCTACATTATATCTAAGAATATCCAATTATATACAAACATAAGCAGGAAGCATATGTAGACAACTAGAGAAAAGTCTGAAGAGTGTCATCTTCAACTTCATGCACTACTGCGACTCAGTGTATACAGAAACACGCATAATGATGTACACTTCTTACATAGTCAGAAAAAACTGTAGTTGCCGATCACAAAACATATACAAGTTGGGTAAAACATTAAACATTATCCTTAATATTCAAATCAATACTTTCATTTTCTGGTTGAGAAGGAATTCATTCAGTTGTTTTGGCAAAAGCAAAATTGTGATAAGTCATGTTTATGACACTCGGTCAATAAAATTCTACTAATGATGAAGACACAGGTAGCATGTTCTTCTACAATACATGAATGCAAAGCACTTATCAAATAAAATGCTTTCAAACATTTTTTGAGAAATATACCACAAGTGCATGAGAGACGACTGTCAGAACATTGTACATACTGTAAACATACTTAATTTGGTGTATTCAAATCTTAGTGCTTACAATTTTTGGGAAATTAGCAGAACAATAACTCAATGCATCCACAATATTAGTAATTACTATATAATCGGAGCAATCATATGTCAGTGCAATACTTTCTGAACAATAATGCTAAAATAAGATAACCACCAAAATATGTACATTTACAATATATCTTAAGGATGAAGCTTGTTTTATCTGTATCAGCCCAGTTTATTGGCTGAAAAAGCCAAATATTTAATGATAGAATGCACAAAATATGATTTTGACTTACAGGTTTATAAAAGATTAAAAAACATTCCTTAAAATAAAAATCAACATTACACATTTCTTATTGTTGCTTGGCAACACATCGCAAATATTTCAATGTAAAATCATGGCGCCTCAAAACATTTACAAGCCAATAGAGTACCTGAGTTTGGTCTATATCAGAGTACCCCGTATTGACATGCCATTCACATATCACAATAAAGAACTACATTGGTGATGAACACAATGGACTTAATGCTTTTACTCTACCCTTCGTAGATATGTGTTTTTGCCAGCCACTGTTGTATCTATGGACATCATGGATGCATACTGAAAGGACATCCCCTCATCTCAACTCAAAGGGCGAGACAAGGAAATCTTGCACAGGTAAAAATCATAGATATACCTGTCCAGGGTAAGAGAATGACTTATCCTTAATTGATTACCATGTAAGCAGCAAAGTATCTTGTTACTTTCCCATGTCAGCATGGCCAAAATATACATGTAGCTATGGTATATAAGGCAGTGTCATGTTTCAGGTATAATTTAAATGTATATCATCAACCCACTGATTAGTAAATGACTGGAACATTCAATATTTAAAATCATAATCATGGAAGAAAACATTTTCCCTACTTTTGTTGGCTTTATATAATATTTTCTTTATCTACCCTATCTAAAAACATCTGTGAACCAATTAAACCATAAGCTTATATTAATCAATCTTGTTGGCCAGAACTGAGGCATAGGAAACGTCTTACATGTATTTAGGGAGGAAAACAAGAATACCCTTGGAAAATTTATCTTGTCAGGCAGGTGACACTATATCTTTTCACATATGATCAGCCACTTGAAGCACTGTTTACTATCAGATTTCTGATTTGGTCTTTATTTGTGCTGATCATTCCTCAAAGTGTACTTATTCAGTAGAAATTCATTTCCTTTCTCACTAATCCTTTGATTACATGTTTTTGGCCAAAGCAGTAACAATGCAAAATTTGAAACAAAACCTGCATTGTGACTTACTATTTAATTTGACGCTGCATATACCTAGCAGAGGAAATTCTTATAGTGAAATAATAAAAAATATCCTGTGTTTCCTATTATCAATAAAAGCTGTTAAAAATCATCAAAAATCACTGTGTATATTATAATTACAGAGAGATCCTCTGAGGTAAACGTTGTGTGCCTTAATCAAGAGCACTGTACTGAAGAATGACTTCTTTGCAATCATAATGCTTCCTGTTTAGGAAGATTTTCAAAATCTATTTGGAAATGTATTTCAGAAATATGAGATCTCTTTGATGTAAAAGCTGATGTTTACTAAATAATGTATATTACTCTAAGTTAAAATAAACCTTTATACATATGAACACTTTCATTTTTGAAGCCTATTTGCTTAGGAACAACAAATTCTTTAAAACCATGCAAAAATAACATAAATATTCATGAATTCATAGACTGATATATGTTTGGAAACAAGAAATGAATTTGTGAACATTCACCTGAGTTCTATGCGTATATCAAACACACACTGAATGTAAATTCAACAGAAACAGACATCTTGATTTATCAACCAACCTTTTAACTGGTACCTACACCACCTTCCTGTGTCCCTGGCAGTCGTTGTTGATGATGAAATATTTCTCTAATGTATAAATTCATTGACTCATTTTACAACAAAAATGACTGATGCAACTTGTGTTAAATATCACACTGTACCATCACCGTACATAACAGGATCTTCCTTCAGGGTTCCAGTCATAGGTAGAACTCTCTAATAAAAAAATAAAACAAAATAATAGTTACATAACTAATCAATGATGAGCCAAATCATAACTGCTGGAAATACAGCAACAAGGGGCAACAACTCTGTAAAGAGTGTAATACAACAGCTGAATGAAATGGACGTTCCTACTTCCCTTAATGCTCAAGTGTAGCAAGCTTGGTAATTATCAGGTGATATATTGGTAAAAAAGATTGATTATTGATGTTTCTCTGGGCCTGACTCTTCTACTGTCATAAGGAACTGTCTCTCAGTTTATTCACTAACAATGACTCTTGTCATACATCAATGCTCGACACCAATCTAGCAGCTCTCAGTTTACTCACTAACAATGACTCTTGTCATACATCAATGCTCGACACCAATCTAACAGCTCTCAGTTTACTCACTAACAATGACTCTTGTCAGACAGCGATGCTCCACACCAATCTAAATGCGGTAAGAGTCACTTTATCCATACAGCAGAAGGATTTTACAAATTTCTTTTCTTCCTCTAAAGCAAATATATCCCATGCCTCTGTCCCTAGACCAAAATTAGTTAAAAGTTTGAGTTTAGGGGCTCAGCTCTATTTTAAGGCACTGATTATTGGGACCCATCACTCTTCACCAAAGGAAGCCTGACCTCAGTTACTTTTAGAGGTACTGTATCAAATTCAGCTCAAAACATATTTCTTTATTTAGTCAATGTTTTAAAGTGTTAATGAGGGTTTTTCCACTATAGACCGTAATATCATCGAGGATAGGATGGTTAAAATTCTAAGGTAACAGAAAATATAACATGTCATGAATATTATACATCAATGAATTATTATCAATAAAGCTTGAAATCAAATTTTGCATGAATGCCATGAAGTATAAATATATTTGCAGATTATTTCAAAAGTTGCAATGAATATCTCACCTTTAAATTTACTGATACTTTTTGAGAAATTTCATATGAAACTCCTTAAAAAGACCAAGAACATCTTTTATTTCTCCTTCTGGTGGCAAAATGGTCATACGGAGGTGGTAGGTGCCTTCTTTTTCCCCAAAGCCACTTCCAGGTACAGTGCAGATGCCCGTTTCTTCCAGGAGCTGGAAACAGTAGAAGGAGTCTGGTGTTTGGCCTCGGGCTTTTGCCTCCTCCACAGCTTTATCAGGTAGGAAAAGTCTTGGAAAAGAGTACATAGCTCCCTGGACCTCGTTGCATTTGATCCCATCAATAGAATTGAACAAATCTGTCACCATTCTGGCTTTTCTAGCTAGGCCTGCTAAAACTTCTTCCTTTTCTTTGGCATAGAGAGCTCCAGAAGGCTCATTTAAAGTTGGGAAATTAGAAACAACACTCATGACAGCCTGTCCTAGAATAGGAGGACACAGTTTAGCAGAAATGGATTTCAGGAGACAGGCTTTTACATCTGGCAGCATGTTAATCACCTCAAAATAACCTCCCCTGAAACCACACTCACCCAAATACCCTTTTGAAGCTGACATGAAGGAGGCCAGCTCTACCTGGCTGTATGGTGGACCCATCTCTGTCAACACTTTCTTAAAAGAAAAGAAAGCTGATCCTTTAGCATAGATGTTGTGTTGATAGACCTCATCTGCAAGTATCATCAGATTTTCATCAGAAGCAAATCGTATGATATCTTGAATATTCTGTTTGGTTAATACTTGACCTGTAGGATTGCCAGGGTTAATGACACAGATGGCGCGGGGTACACACTCTCCTCTGCATGAATTTAGAGCCCTTTTAAGTTCATCAAGATCAAGAGACCAATTTTTCTCTTCATTAAGGTAGTAACGTATGGGGTAAGCATTGTACTCGGTGAGCGTGGCAGAATATAGAGGATACTGGGGTACAGGTATCATGATTCCAGCACGATCTTTGCCATCTTTGCCAGTCATCAACATTGACAGAATGGTTTTGATACCATCGCTAGCTCCAGTGCAGAGGATAACATCTTCTGCTTTGCTTGGAATACCATCTCGTTTACTGATGTAGTTTGCAATATCCTCGCGGATTGGATCTATACCAGCACTAGCACTGTAAGAACCCACACTGCTCCCTCGACATCCATCAAGTATTCTACGAGCACGGCTTTTGGCATCTTCTGGAAAGTCTGGAGACTCAAACAATGGAGGATAAGAACAGAGAGCAATGACCTGGCGTAAAAAAGTGTTTGGGATTTGACCTGTAGCATGGCAGTCACCAATATTTGCCTTCATGACTCTAGCAAATGGTTTCTTAACACCTTCTTTTAGCTCCTTTTCAATCTCTGTTGCCCTAACTACAATTGGACCTCTCACTGCATACTGCATCTCCCTGACACGAGGATTAACGTTGTCCATAGTGAGGACTGGTGCATGGTGACCATTAATCCCATTCACTTGACTGTCACCCTGCATGTTTCTATAGATGACTGCTACAAAACTGATGAATATCTGTTTTGGATTATTTTCCTCACTTTTTCTGAAAGATAAAGAGAGGAAAAAGACTTTCAGCATGTTTTAGTTTCTTCATTTATACTGATCACAACTGATTGATTGCTAGCTTTGACATATTTGAACAGGAAAGGGATGACAAATATATTGTTGAGCTCTCAAATTTTCATCTATTAATTACAGAAAAGATATACTAAGGCGATTATTGTTACAATTCTGTTTCAATCTTTAAATGAGATCAGAAATACTGTGTATTGTGTACTTAATCATAATCAACAGTCCCAGTAGGGCTTAATTGATCACCTATTATTGATCTGTAGCTTACAAATAAGACTTTGTCTGTTTACTGAGTCAATTTCTGCAGACTTGAAATCCCATTCTCTTAGCAAGTAACTAAACAAGTAACCTGACCAGGGCCCTATTGTTTCCTTAAAAAAAGTTCTTAAGACCTTTCACTGAAGCCTTTTTTAACCTTTCATATAAGGGCTATACTCAAACATCATCATGATCCTTGATCTCTTAGTTATCGAGAAAGAACTGTTAAAACATTTTGACCTAAAAAGTGAAAAATAGGTCATCCATTTGCATCAAATTTGTCCAGATTGTATTTAAATGAGTATAAATGCATTCTGAACCAAAGGATGATGAATTATACATAACACCCATTTGGCACCATTCTGACAGAAATTACGTCAATGCTTTGCACATAGCCTTAAATAACATGTGTTATAACGTAATATTAATCATTAAGCTGGTTATGAATTTCAAAAACCTTCTCCTGTACGTAAACATAATGCAAAAAAAAAATTTTTTGAATTAGAAAAAATGATATTTTAACTAATATCTGAAATGTAAACATAACCACTGAATGTCTGTCAGATCTGTCAACAAACTTTCATTCATAGTGACAACAAATATAATCTGACCGACATTCAATAACTACAAGCCTACCTCCCGCCTCAATAAGATCCCTTGATAAACCCTCCACTGAAGGAGTGCAAGAGAGGTCTATACAACACAAAAGACAAAATCTATTTGCATCAGCTCATAACATCACATGTGTGGTCCCTATGTGATGAGGATGTCATGGAATCAGATACTTTATGCTTGCAGGATTATAAATAGCCTACTCTAAACGAAACTGTGACACCGGCAGGCCTACGTTACTGTTATAACTAATCATGCATTAGACATGCATGTGCTCCATGATCAACTGATAAATGAATTACTTGATCAACCTGCGATGACACACACAGTGGTAAGTGCCACGTTGATAAGGATATTTTTATAATTTTAAATGGTTACATGTGATTAACGGCAAAAAAAATCTTTTATATAATACCTACGACGTACCGCACCAGTCCGCCTGTGTTCTTATCGCAACGGCCAGGTCAAGGTCTTTCTTTTATAACTAAAAGGTTTTTTCGCTGGTGACACTAACAAAAACCGAGGTGTTCCGATATTCCTCAATTTTTCCATTGAGAGTTACTTCCCCTGCACAGCAGGTGCGAGGCGGCCACATCGAAGAAAAAATACGCTTCCAGTGTAGGTACAGATAGTTTGGGTTGTAATTTTCGTTATGCCTTTAACTATGATATTCGGTCGTCTAATAAGATAATCAATCCGTTTTTAGACAACTGCTTTTCTGACACAACAATACACGCTTGAATGTGGCATCCCATCAAACTTATTAAAATAACGTGCATAAAGTATATCTTACCGGGTTCATTAACTAGCAAAACTGCAAATAGTAAAATCTGCCAATATACTCATATGGAATACAAAATCAGTATATTTGGTTGAATGAGGAAGGTCTCCACGATCACGCCTTGCAACTTCTTCTTCTTCTTCAAAATAATGACAATCCGTCATCAGATATGTCATGTGCATGAATATGTACATAGGATTTTTGTTTGTTCTGAAAAAGCATATTACTAGGATTAAAGGCATAGAGTGTAGGTGAAGTATTTCCCGAATGGTAGCTGCGAAAGCTTCCATTGTGTCAGTTGTGCAAATACAGTCACCAACTGAGCCACCGAGAGATTGAATTGTTTAAAGGATAGAAGGAAAGTTTACAGGCGTTGTTGGATGTCTGTATGTTTGAAAGTAAGAGGTTTGCGATGGGAATGCATTGTACTCGTATCTGCTGTATTGAAGAGATCTGTAGGATCAGGATATTTAGGGCTTTATAGAACATACATGTGCAGTATATCCCCAGCCAGAAGATATATAGCTGGTGTTATGACGTGTTCAAATGAACTTTGCAGCATGACATTGGTCTTTCTAAAATTTATTCATTGTTGGTATTTGAGGAGTTCCATACAGATGACAAATATTCAAGATTGGGAAGGATTAACAACCGATTTTGTAGTCTCAATTTTTTTTTTTTATTTTGGGGGAACTAACCTAGAATATTTTGGCTTAGAAAGCCTTAGGATTGATTGGCTTTAGCAGTTACAGTCCCATTTCAGGTTGTTTTTATTAGTGATGTCAAGGAGTTTTGCTGAATCTGTAACTTCTATGGTATAAAAACATGAAACTGATAGCTGGATGAAAATTTGCTCTGCTGCTGGTTTAGAACTTATAGAACAGTACATTGGTCTTGGTTTAAATTTGTCAACCAGTCCCTTTCCCATTTATCTTCAGATGCAAGATCAGACTACATTTTGTTAACATTGTCCTGTGATTTTATCATTTGGTAAACAAGTTCTTCATCAGTAAAGAGACAGAGATTTCTAGATACATATTTGGGAATAATGACTATTCAAATGGGGAAAAGAATAGGTCTGAGGACCATTCCTTAGGGAACACCAGATGTTACGAGGACTGTAGATGAAATTTCTCAATTTAATACAAACAATTGAGTTCTGTTGGAGAGAGAAGAAGAGATCCAGTAGACAATTATTTTGATCAACAATAGAATTTCAATTCAGAAAAGAGGTACTGGGGAGAAACCATATTAGAAGTGTTTAGTAAATTCAATGATGATATATGTTTCTTGGTTGTGTTCAAAAGAAGAGGCTTGATCCTGGATGAAGGAGATTAATTGTGTTTCAAAGGATATTTCAGAATGGAGGCCATGTTGGGGGTTGTAGAGAGTGTTGATTGTTTGTAAGTGGTGCATGATGTTACTGCATATAATGTTCTAAACGCTGACAACATGATGTAGGTTAAAGTGATGGGGTGGTAGCTAATAGTATTGTGTTTATTACCTTTCGTTTAACCAAAGCTTATATTGGTATGGTTCCAATCATAGGGGACTGTTCCAGAAGTGAGTGATTTTTTAAAAAAAGTACTCTGAGAATAGAGGCCGCAACTGTTTTCGATTCCTTGAGAATTCTCCTGTAAATCTTGTCGAAGCCAGTGGTCTTATGAGGGTTTGTAATTTTTAAGTAGTTTTTCCGTGCTGTCTGTTGAGATTTAGATATTGTTGATTTTAAAGTGGGGATGGCTTGGTGCCTAGGATGTCTAGGATGTGTGAGTCAGTGTGTGGTGTGAGTGCCTTTTGGAATTGACAATTCAGCATGTTTGCCTTTTCTGGTGGTTTTTTTGTAATTGTCCATATAAGGATGATATGTTAGGGCCTTTTGTTTTTCATGATATTATACAGGGATTTTGGGAATACAGGTTTTTGATTGGTCATCATCTGGGATGTTCAGGACAATTTTTGTGTATAAGACCAATATGAATTTCAGATATTTTCTATCTCTAATTTTAATATTCTAAGGTATCATTTTCAGTATTTTTGCCCTGATTTTGGTTTTACTATATATTCTTTTTACTTGTTAATTTCCTTAATAAATCCGGGAAGCCCTTTTATTTTCTTTAGTAGTTTTGAGGTCATCATTGATGTTTGACTAATTTGCTTCATTATGCCTTTAATATGAACAAATCAAAATCAAAATAGGGGATATTTTAGCTCGGACCATTTCTGCATTGGCCTGTATCTCCAAGACTGGAATACGTGTTAATGGCAACGAGAATGGTACCACTCCACGTGACTGTCCCCTTTTGTTTTGTTGCCTATCATTTCAATATATATTATATATAAAGCTTGAGTGACAGGAATTGCTTTGAATTATCAAATGGTAACTCAAATGCAAGATAATTGGATATAGTAACATAACGTTCTTTTCAATTTTAAATGTGATAAAGAGGCATTCATGTGTATGTAAATGAATGATTTTTAAATGAATTTGAATAAAACCACTGGGTATAGGTCCCTGTACTTGTGGTCCTTGTACTGGGTATAGGTCCCTGTACTGGGTATTGGTCCGTGTGCTTGGTATTGGTCCCTGTCCTGGGTATAGGTCCCTGTACTGGGTATAGGACACTGTACTGGGTAAAGTTCCCTGTACTGGTGGTCCCTGTACAGGGTATTGGTCCCTGTACTGGGTATAGGTCCCTGTACTGGGTATTGATCCCTGTACTGGTAGAGTAAGTAATATATTAGTTTATTTTATTTAATATATTTGACAATAGGTGTATTACACATCCATAGTTTTACATGAAAAAACAAGCTCAGAGCAATTATCTTAATTCCTTTTCCTTTGACATTCTGGGAAAGACTTTTGACTCTTTGATGTGCGTGCATAGACTCGGTTTTAAGTGAGAGAAAGCTTTGAAGTTGTTGACATGCAAAACATAATAAAAATCCAGGCTAAAAGGCTCAAGCTGTGTATATATGAAAACATAAACAGACCATGGGTGCCAAACATATAAGCCAGCTGAAGTTTACATTGTTTTCTTACTATGAATTAATATGTTGATTGCTCTTATATCACCCTCTCTGTTATAGACCCTGAGTAATGGCGGGGGTTACTGTTGAAGATTGGCAGTCCAACAAGAGTGCACTGGCTTGTAACCGTTACATGTTGACTAATCAGATTGCTTGTGATGTCAATTTCCTAGTTGGAGAGGATCGTGTACGTATTCCCGTACACAAGTACATTCTGATCAGTAGAAGTTGTGTGTTCTACTCTATGTTCTGCGGGCCACTTGCCGAGACAAGCTCTGACATTACCTTACCTGATATTGAACCTGAGGTTTTCAGAGCACTGTTGTTGTAAGTTGAAGAGTGATTGAATTAATTTTACATCATTTAACATACATCTACCTTGTTATCAGCGTAATAACATTCACTACATAACTTTTGTTATCACATTCTTGCAGTGACACCTAGCTGATCTTTGTTACAGTTGTGATGTCATCACTTCATAATGTGATATCCATTATGACATCACCAATGAAAGACAGAAAGTGATATATGAATAATATTATCAGCTTGGATGTTGTACAAGGTTTTAATAATATTTTCTTAGTTTTCAAGGAAATATTGGAGTTAAATGATAAACATAATCTTGCATTTGTTCCCATTTCGTACCACATTCATCAAACTCATACACTTTACTTTGCTTGAGGCATGGTAAAATGAAAGAATCAAGGACATGATCTTGTATAAAGACACATACAACTTATACATGTACATGGCTTATGTCATTCATTTCATAGGTTTTGTATTGAATCATGAAGATATTTTATAAACCTTGGAAATCTTCAAATGCTATAGTTATTCAGAATTGTTTTTTATTTTAATCAGAGTTTTGTAATTAAAACAAATTTTGTTAGGGCAAGATTTACTGATTAAGACCGTAACTATTGTATGTATTGTGCATGTGATATCAGACTTCAAATTTCATAGCTAGGTCTTTCGAAAAAAAATAAGAACTGGTCAACACAAGTTAGGTCTTCGAAAAAAAATTCAGAACTGATCAACGCAAACGTGAATTTGGCTTGTTTTTGCAGGTTCCTTTACTGTGAGGAACTAGACATACAACCTCACATGGTTTTACCCCTGCTGTATGCAGCAAAGAAGTATTCCATCCAAGCTCTAGTAAGAAAATGCATACAATATCTGGAACTAGACCAGTCCTCAGAAAATATATGTGCAATCCTGGAACAAGCTCACATGTATGATGAAAAGGACCTAGAAAGGAAATGCATGGACTATATCTGTGGACATGCAAAGGATGTTATTCAGTCAGATGATTTTCTGGAGCTCAGCCCTACTTCTCTGATGTGTATTCTCAAATCTGATGAAATACAGGTAGATGAAAAGACAGTCCTCATGTGTGTACAAAAGTGGGCGGACAAAGAATGTGAGAGAAAAGACTGGGAAGTGTCTCCAGCCAACATTCGAAAAGCTCTTGGACCTCTCCTGTATCAAATCAGGTTTCCACTCCTGGGGGAAAAATATTTCACTGACATTGTAGCTGATATGGAAATTTTAAATGACACTGAAAAGGTTGAATTGTTCAAATACTTTTATAAAACAGGATCAAAGGTTGAAACTTTTGTCACAAGGAACAGATTTGCAAATAACACTTCTTCTGGCAGTGATTCATTCCATAGTGAGACGGATACACGACCAATACAGACTTGTATGAGATATCGGACAGTGTATGAGGACGGATCATGGTACTGTGGCGGGGAGCCTGATGCTGTTGCTTTCACATGTAATAGAACTATACAGTTAAATGGTGTTTTAGTATACGGTTCATATATAGGTGAAGGTGTATATGATGTCACATGTTCTGTTTACGACAGTGTTGAAAAGGAAATTGTGACACGTCGCACATCACTGAAGACCAGTGAAAGTCAACACACTTATCCAGTCCTTCTGGAGGTTCCCATTGAGATACCAAAGTCCAAAAAACATATTCTAGTTGTGAAACTCATCAGTTCTGAGGGACTGGACACTTACCAAGGAAAGAATGGAATGTCTTCTGTGTCTGTAGGATCAGTACAGTTCAGCTTCAGTAAATCAAAATACAGCAGAAATGGAACGGATGTTAAGATTGGACAAATTCCTGGCCTCCTGTTCACATGTAATGATGAAGATATTGATGAATTTTGAAGCAAATCAGTTTCTACAGCATACATGGAGTTATATGGAGTCCATGGAGAATTTGGCATTCATGTTGTATGTATATCAGTGGTCAATGAGAATGTGCTTTCATTGTTGCTTATTACAAGTGGTTACAATCTGCATGAACTTTTGTTAATCAGATTACTGAAATGAATAAAGTTCACATTAATTCTATGCATGTATCACAAAAGTATGAAGAAAATTTTGTTTCAGCTCTGACTCACAGCTGATCATCTTTATCACGAACCCTCCACTTCTGGGTCACAGGTTTAAGGCCTATGTGAGGCAGTTACCAGGTACTGGCTTCAGGTTTCTCTCTAGGAATTCTCAATTTCCTTCCAATACCAAAACCTGGCATATCCTTAAATGACCCTTACTGTTAACAGGACGTAAAGTAACAATAAAGCAATTAATTTATGACACTTGGTGATTGATAAAATATAGAATTATTCAATTAAATGACATTTTTTTCTCTACAAGGTTTTATGATTGTATAGCTTAGCCATGACTATATGTTATAAACCATATGTTTTCAATTTCAAGGTTTAGAAGAATACTAATTTGAAGCACAATGCAAATAACGGAAAATCATTATTTTTCTATCACAGTTATTTTGTTTAAGCTATAGCCTATGATCATGAAATAGTTGGCTTTTCATCGTTCACAAAAACTCACGGTTTTACCTGCTATATTATGAGTATCATTTTATGTTCATTATGGCTGACTGTCAGCAGTCATTTTTCCTGTATATGCCACACAAAAGTTTTCCTGGGATTTATTATGGTATGGTACATGTTGTCAGGTCATCTAACTGTGAAACTTTCATAAACTTTTATTGGTCTGGGGATATCCTCCCATAATTAGCAATCAATCTGCTTAATCATAATGGCAAGAAATACAGTATTTTGATTCAACAGTTGTTGGAAGAGTTATCACCCTTTGTTTTGTTAGTCATTATTTTTGCTCGGAGATTAGTTTTCAGTCAATTCCTTTATCTATATTACTTTCCTGAAGGTATATATTCAACTATTTTGGCAAGCATATATAATTGCCCTATGTTTTTTTTCCATCATTTTAATCTTACTGAGAGATTTCATCTTGCAGAGTTCAACCAATCTCGTTATAACTTGGTCTGATTTATCATATAAAATATCACACTATTTTACTCTGATGCATGTTTACCGGACAAGATTTTGAGAATTATTATCCTTTGTTCAGCTTTTTATCATATTTGTTAATCCTCTACCTTAGTTTTCAATTTATTTCTTACAAACTTTGTAATTACGTAAAATTGTGGTTAAATTTGTCGGTAGCATTTCTGATCAGAAAAGTTGTATTTCCCTATTTGTATTCCATTTCCTATTCCTGTTCTACCCTATAGTATTCTTGGTAGGTTGATAGCATTTGCATATTTCATTGAAAGGATAACATGATACCATACCGCATACTCCATTACTATTACTGCAAATACAACCCATGAGAGGGGAAAAAAATGACCAATCTTTCATTTAATCATTAAAGATAATCAATATGGAGCTGAAATTCTGTGAGAAAATTATAATTAAATGTGAAAACTTGTGATATGTATTTGTTTAATTCCTGTTACAATAATATATATATGTATATATAAATTGACCAAAGTAACTTGTATTTAAATTTGTTATATATATATGCTGATAACTTGCATGTAGTACTGTATATGGAGGTTTTGTTGTACAATTTCATAGTTTAAAATTTAACTTAAATCTGGTTGATTGTAGACATTTTACTTGATTAAAATACCAGTGTGCAATCAATGTGTACATACAGATTGCAGTCACATAGATATAATGTATTTATTATGTTATATATATATATATACGTTAAAATATAGCTAGATGGTTTGTGGATGAAACATTAAACATTAAAGGATGGGACTTTAGGTAATCAGTGTCATGATGCAATCGATATTCATAATTCAGAAGAGTTTAAACAAGGGGTAATTATAATGATTTGAAAACAGTGAAGTTCACATCAAAATTTCAAAAGAGTTTTTTTTTAAAAAAAGGCCATTGTTGACAATCGTCAGAACAAAAAGTAAGTCACATGATGTTTGTAGCCCACGATTATCAGATGGTGGTGGTCTGTTCATATTAACATGAATCTGTCATCCGTCCTTTAACAATTCTTGTTATTACTCTTTCTCAAATTTCATATGAAGGTTTCCCTTGGTCCTTAGTTGTGCCCTTTATAGGCGGACCAGAAAAGCAAAATGGCAAGAAGGTAGCCTTCCTTGATTTTGACATTGAAAGTTGGTTATCATTATTTCTTCAGAAATAAAGAAGGATCTTTGTCACATTTCAAATATAGACTGCCCTTGTTCCTTAATTGTGCTCTTTTGATTTTTGGACTTATCAGGAAAGCAGGTGGCCATTTGACAGTTAAAGATAATTAGAAGGAAAACCTGATTTCATATGATTAGGAGCAAAAACAGAGGAAAGAAGAGAAAAGTTTAAACTTTTAAAGAAGAAATAATTATAAAGATAAAAAAATGGTGAGTACTAAGATTGCCTTTTGATCACTTGTTAAAGATATCTTTCAATCATACCATGTGTATACATTTTTTGTAGTATTTTGTGTGCAAATAAATGTGCAGTGTCAATTTTGCGCCAAAATATTGTTGTCAAAAAGTTATGAAAAGAGACATTAATAAAAGATAAGAAATGAAAACAGAAGTAATGAATCATTAACATACTCAATTGAATTTGTTTGTGAAGTTGTATTATATGATGCAAAGTTTGTCAAACAAAAAATAAATGGATTGAATAAAAACAAAGTTTTTCTTGTGAAATAGCAGTTGTTTCCAGTGACGAATGGAAGACAATTCGGTGTCATGTTTTGACCTGTAGGGAAAAACAGTGGAACAGATGTACGATATTGATTATGTTAGCTGTATAAATATTGATTATAATTTAAACATGGATCATGCAGAACTCCAAATGTAACAACTTTAACAGCAACAGGATGGGGACCCTGAAATGTTCATGGTCGACACGATACATCCATTTGTTGTAATTAAATATTGTTCTCGTGTGAGAATGTGACATTACTTACATTGAATGCTAAAGATTTTCATTTACAAATGCTAGGACAAAATTGCTGGATGGATTCACTGTTAGCTATTTTTTGTATGTAATTCTATATATGTAACTTTAATATGTAGGAGATGTTGTCTCTGTTCATGCTCTACTTATGTCTTTTCAAACAGGTCTAAACTGATTTGTAATTGTTACCAACAAGCAATATGATAATACATAAGAATATCTGTGAAACAGAAAAGTCATCAAATTCATGTATAATTCAGATATGGAGGTATCCTGTTAGATGGTGGTTATCTAAAGATAATAGGATGTGGTTGATGTAAACAATATCCTACATGTGTTAAGTTTAAAACAAAAAAAGAATTTGCACATACCTTCAGTATAATGATAGCTCTGTTGTATAATATATTGCGATATCATTTCGCTTTAGCAGCACCTCTCATTAGGTTAACTTTATAATAAACAATACAGTGATATCAGTGCTATGTCCTTAATCTGCTTGGTAAAAATGTAATAGAAATTATTGTTTAATTATGTACATGGAGGTACGGAGAGGTATGCATTTATACAACATGGGCGTCGACACATAACAATAATCCAAACAATATTGAAAGGGAAAAAGAAAACACATGTACCTTTCACTTCTTCACTTTAATAGAAGGACACAAACACATTTTCATGCAAAAACACATATCTAAGTAATATGATAATTAAACGTAAACAGTTGTGAAAAAAAACTGTCTGAAGATCATAATCAATCCATGTCTACAAATTAAACAGCGTATCAAACAAGATAATTAGCCATTTTATTACTGCTATGTGTCCATGACCTTTGAATTTAGACAGCAGTTAAGGTAAAATAGAAAGTTACAGAACTCTGCCAACTACTCTCCAATAAGGCATATTTTTTAATTTTATACATGTATCAATGAAGTAGCACAAAAGATATCAAAGTCCTGTAAAATTGTCAGAATGTTTATTTAAACAGTTCAATCTGGTGAAGTAATATGTACCTTCTAACATCACAAGAAACTTCAAATCACTGCTCTTCCACAGATACTTTTATCAGTAAACATACAGGTATGACTGAGCCCATATCTTGCAAGCATAACTCCAGGCAATGTGGGTTTCAGAGCAACGGGTACAGAAATGACTGGACATCAAATAGGTTATGGGAAGAGTGAAGGGGTTATTGGGGTAGGCATTGTGATGGGGAAGGGACTGAAAATATCACTCGACCAAAATGCTTCTCAACAGATTATTGGCAAATAACTTAAAACACAGCAAACGTCCACCCAGATATCTCATTTAATATAATAATGTATATTTAGAACCAATCTTGTTCAGGTCCGTAGTTTTATTATTAGGATTGGAGATCTTTGTTGGAACTGTATATGCAATTATAACAACTTCCAATAACTACGTCATCCTATAACAACATGTGCATGTGTGCAAAGGTGACAGCAACACAAAGTAATCACTCTGACAAAATACTGATGTGAATGAATTTATGGGTTATCCAAGAGACAGCACTTGTGCTGAAATGAGGCTCTAAACACATACCTCCTGTGTCCGACCAATATTTAAAAATTTGTATTATTTTGTTCTGTGTGTTTTCCAACTCAAGCACCAGATTTCAGACGTGAGAGATAAATTTGTAGGTGTCTGGTGCAGTACCGTTCTCAGATGTTGTTAAATGTTGAATAACACATACCCAAAAACCAATCATTGTGTTGTGAATTGCTCTACTCTCCTGTTCAATGGGACAAGAGAGGGTAGCAGGGCAACAAGGTAGCTATGAACTTCTGGTTGGTGAGGCAGATAAGGGCATGGAGAGCTGCAATGTTGCAGCTGTGTCAACATTTTGATTCTGTAATATTGTGTAGCTGTAATGTTACAGCTTTGACAACACTAAGATTCTGTTACATTGTGTAACTTCAGTACTATAGGTCTGATGTGATTCTGTTATATTCCTGAGGTAAGAGGAGCCGGGTATTAATATTAGTACTTGCTGAAGAGCGGCGGCAAAAACAGTTAAAACACCAATTACACAAACACGGGAAAATACCAGGATACTGATTATACCAGAGGTATAAAAACTTGTTATAGGAATAACATAAAACAGTGTATGAGAAAGACAGACAAAAAGGAAGTAATCACTCTTACTTGTATCATTTTAAAAGGTGTCCGTGTTTTACACATATTTATACATAAATATAAAAACAAAATATTGGCATGGCAACTAAAATTCTAAATCACAATCACTAACGTTAACATCAATGCAATCGCCTGAAGATGGTGGCAAGACTTTTAAACGTTAGTGATTGTGATTTTTGGAATTTTAGTTGCCATGTTAAAATTTTGATTTTATATTTATATGTATGATGCACAAAAAACAAAGTGTTTCTCATATTTGAGGTATATATATAATATATACATTATTGAACACCTAACATATCTAAGGTACACCGAAATTTAGTGTTTATTGACATTTATGGGTGAAATGGTGTCAACACTTCCATATAACTTGATTTTTATCTTTTAGAGATGCATTCATTACAAGCTTGTAGATAGATGTGCTCAAGGACGAGAATGAAAACAAACTACCAGATTTAGGGAAAATAAAAAGAGGGAAGTTCTGAACGATTGCAGAGGTACATTGTATCTTGCACAATAAGTCATTCTGTAGTAAATTGCTGTTTCATACTGTCCGCGGCAAGGCAGCAATGTGATGGAAGGAGGGGTGGGGTGGCTTTGTGAGCAGTAACAATGGACTGATTGTAGGGAAAGGTAGGGCAGCAAAGTAGGAGACGTTGGGTAGTAGGGAAGGAAAATCAAGGCAGGCATGTAGCAGAACAGCAATGTAGAGGAAGTTAGAGTAGCAATGTACGAGTGTGTAATGGAGCAACTCTGGGGAGGGAAGGGGAGTATGTAGTGGGGCAGCAATACATTGGCAGTACAATGCAGGAAAAAGGTAGAACAATATTGAAGGGGAGGGATGGGGATAGGATGGCATTGTAGGGATGGTTGGTCAACAATGCAGGGAAGGTTTGAGTGCACTTGTGGCAATTTGAAGTAATGGGAAGTAAATGACAAATGATGAGGTTGACAAATGTCTTTTTGAAGATAAATTTAAACATATACAAATTGAACCAAATAATTAATGTTCACTATACTAAGTATACACATGTACCTTGCACCTATCTAATTTGTACAAATGTGTTCTGTTTTCAAACATACCAACCACTTCAATAGCATTGATTTCTTATCAATAATGCCGCAATTTAGATTCTTTAAATGACAATATAATGCATTGTACAAATCAAATGAAAACACAACTACAAATCAATATATTAGGTTTCAATTTATTGATTCTAATACCCGACGATCCCACAGGTTCAACACCTATTTATTTACAAAAAAAAAAATGTTCAAGTAACCATACAAAAAAAACCAATATTGTTAAGAAGTACTACTAATAATACTAATCATTTATAAGAGCTCACTGTATAATCCAAATGGTATTGGAGTGATCATTATTTAGGACTAACAGCAACAAAAAAACAAAGATGAAACATATGAGCTGAAGGTGAATGATGAATTGGTGTTATTTTA